TAAGCAAGTTTTCGCAATTGCTTTGCATTTTGCCTGTTCGTATTTATAAAATTCGCACTTATTCAGCATTCCATTTGGACGCCCTACATATGCAAAGTTATTGCGTAATGAATGGTTGTATGTTTTACAGCTCTTTTACAATTATTTCGAGTGATTTTTTGATTACACTTTTTAAACAATATAACTGCGATTAACTGTTTCATAATTGCTTTTTATCCAAGTGTGCCCTTACATTTTTTACAAAAATAATTTCATTCAACCTGACTATCTGACAATATTTTGAGATATGTTTTTTAATGCGTCTAACATAATTAGCTCTTTTTAGTTTGTTTTTGCTACTGTTCATTGAAAGCTCATTCAATATTTTTCTAAAGAATTTTTCAGAAATTCTTAAGAAAAATATTCAAGACACCATCTACCTTTGTACTCATGCAAGGTATCATCCACCTCTGTACTCATGCAAGGCACCATCCATCTTTGTAGTCAATTTAATTACAGTATGTAGGGCATTTGTATTTATTTAAAAACTTTTAAAAAGAGTATTAAAATAGCCACGATAATGATCAGTTTAATATTATTGATCAATCGATAATCAATCAATCACGTTTTATTACGATAGTAATCAAACCAATTAGGATCATTTGACCCAAATCGAATTGATTATCATTCCAATTGATTTTGATTTTTTGATAGTGGTTATTCTCCTGTTTTCCTGCAATAATTCATTTTTTTTTTTGCAGTTCTTTTGCACGAGTTACATTTGCAACGCAGTACTTTTTTTTTTACTTTTATTAATTTTTAGGCTCTTTTACTTTGTATGGAGTTACTTTTTAGACTTTTTTACTTTGTATGAAATTACTTTTTAAGCTTTTTTACTTTGCATGGAGTTAATTTTTAGACTATTTTACTTTGTATGGAGTTACTTTTTAGGTTTTTTTACTTTGTATGGAGTTACTCTTTAGACTTTTTTACTTTGTATGGAGTTACTTTTTAGACTTTTTTACGTTGTATGGAGTTACTTTCATAAAAAAGTACAAAAAAAAAACTTGAACTTAATCGGCGCCAGTTTCGTAAAATTGTATAATACACACAATTTTACGAAACTGGCGCCGGCAGCGCTTGACATTAGGTTTTACCCATACATTAAGACTTAAGAATGCATAAAAAACACACAAGCTACGCAACCTAAATACACAATGCAATAAATTTTCAAAAACGACGAACAAAAACAATTAGTCTAGAATTTCAAGAAAACAGCAACAGCTAGTTAAAAAAGGTGATAACTTAAGTTATCACTATATATATAAAAAAGGAGATAACTTAAGTTATCACTTTTTTAAACTAGCTTTTTATTCAGCAAATAAGCAAAGATTTCTGAAATTGAAGATGATTTCTTTCAATTTAGATTATCAGTTAACACTAATATTACTGCTGATATTATTATTTCAGCATTAGTAGCACCAGCTTATCACTTGATGACTTTAATGGCTTTTCATTGTTGAAAAATGTCTTACATTTTAAACAGCATCTTCTGCCAAAGCCGGCGCGATGGGGGTGTGTGGATAGGGGTGTGACCCCCCCCCATCAATGATTTTTTCGATTATTTAGTCGGCAAATTTGTCTTTTTTTTAGTAGTCAGTCGGCAAATGTTGACCCTTTCAACAAGGTAGTCGGTAAACTCAGAGAATCAGTCGGCAAATATCGATAAGACAGTCGGCAAATTATAAAAAACGAGGACCTTTTTTTTTTTCAGGTGGCAAAAGTTGCCTTAGCACCCAACCCCTCCACCACGTGACACCTATTCGCACCGGTCCTGTCTGCTACTGCACATCTATAGAAAACTGTTGTAAACCTGCGAGTCTATTGTAATAAACATATTTAGCTGTCTTATGTAATAAACATATGGATTGAACATATGTTAAGTTGTATTCCGAAAGATGATTTAAAAATCTGTTTTTTATATGTTTATGTTTGAGGTATTCAATTTTGCGACGCTCAAATAATCTTTGCTTTGTAACTAAAAAGTACCTCCAACATACTGTACTTTTTTATATTTACTTTGTTACTTAAAGAACCATTTCTTGTTTCATTATTTAATTAAATACAAAACAATACAAAAACTTTTAAAAAAAGAATTTAGTAATGAAACAATTGAAGGGAATCGGACGCACGAGGTTCATTCGTTACTTAAGGTTCTATCGTTATTTAAACCGCGAGAATTTACTGTATCAAAAAATTTAGCCTCTTAATTTATGGTTGTAGGCAAATTATAATCAGCAAAACTTTTAAAATAACGGAGCTATTGAAAAATTCTTTAAAATTGTAATACTTATTAATTTATGTTTTGTCATTAAGTATTCAACTAGCTACTACTTGAACTTCAAGCATTACTTGAAGTTTAAGCATTACTTGAACTTCAAGCATTACTTGAAGTTTAAGCATTACTTGAACTTCAAGCATTACTTGAAGTTCAAGTATTTACCATTTTTGGTATCTACCATTCTCTTAATTTTTACCATTCTTGAACTGGTCGAATATAGATAAGAACAAATATATAGATCTTATATCCATATTCTTAACATGTTATCTGACTAGTCATTTACTAATTATTATCTTTAATACTATTATTAAATTCGTAACTTTTAAAATTGAAAAAAAAAAAAAAAAATTGAACAAATAATTAAAAAACTATTATAAGTGCCTTTTGTTTTTATTAAACACCTGTTTTAAATAGGTGTTTAACTATTATAACACTTAGATGAATACATCTAGCTTAGTGTCAATTGTAGTTGACATTTAAGCTTATTAAGTGTCAATTGTAGTTGACACTTAATAATGATCCATATAGTTCTAATAAGTTAGTTCCATATGATATGGATATGACCTATTAGAACTATATAGATCATTATTAGAACTATATAAGATATGATATATCTAATATAGTTCTAATAATGATCCATATACAGTATGGATCATTACACTATATGATATAACATTAGAAAAAAATCTAAGTAATTTAAAATATTTTATAGTAACTAAATTAATGTTAGATACCACTGTTCAAATATGTTACTATTGTTATACAGTTTTATAATGAATAGATTTTTAAAATTATTTTTATTATATATTTGTGAGACTTTTTATTGGATAAGTTTGGAATCTATTTGATATCTATAAAGCTTTTACTTTACCTTATTTTTCAATTGTTACACAAAAAATTGAAATAATACAATTGTTCAACAAAAAATTGTTTTTCAAAAAAGACCTGTAACAGTGTTTATTCAATATTTGGATCTAATAATTTAATTAGGTGTCATCTAATAACATGAGAATATATATTCAAAACTTTTAGTCTGTAGCACTGCATGATTAGATAGCTAGGGGAAGGCGGGAAACTTTTGATCTTTTCAAATATTTCCCAACATGATAAAAGTTACCACTTAAAGTTTTTATCCATGTTTTGTCTGTTAATAAGCTATCGCAGGAAATAAGTATCGATCCATCTTTATTAGTATTAGTACTTATAGAAGAAAATGTAATTATTGATGCAAAAGGTAGTTTTTTTATGTTTTAAATAACCCACAGAGAATCTCTCTTCCAATTATAACCTCATAAACTTTTTTGTTGTTTATTGTTTAATGATATCTTGAGTTAAAAACCTTTGTGTTTGGTTTACTTTAAAAAATTTATTTCGGCTTTTAATAACGTTTGTTTATATATAACACATGTGGGGTACATTCGACCTACCTAGCTGGGGAACATTCGAGCGGTGCTTAAAAATACTGCGATAATTTATTTCTCTTATCTTTTAGATGCCTCAAAAATATGTAACAAAAGCATATAGAAATAAAAAAAATGAAAATGTGGTATTAGAAAAAATTATTAGTATTTTTAATAATTCACTGTCTGAACCACAAGCAAAAAGATTTCATGCCCAGATATGTTACAAATAGAACCCTAACAGGAGAACCAAGTGAAAGTTTAGGGGTAATAGGCACACCAATACAAAATAACTATTATTATAATATTACCATTCTTATCTACCAATGAAACGCATTCCTCCTGCAACTACTAAAATAACTCTAACAATTAAAAACTGATTCCAGAACATATGCGACCCTTGCCTAAAGCTTCTCAAAAACAAAATAAATAAAGAGGAAGTCAAGCCAGAGATATATGCTATCACTCCTGAAAAGGAAAAAATTGAAAAACTTTGTTTGAAAAAAAATTAAAAAAAAGAAGAAAAGTCATCAATCTGAAAAAAAATGTTTTTAAAGTCTGCAACTCCAACAAAGACAGAAAGAGCAGCAACGATATTTTTATGTCAATATAACTTCGCAAATCTTGTTGTATAATAGCTATTACTATTTGTTTTTAAATATTTTGTGGAAAGTTTTTATTGTATAATAAAACATTTATAAGAAAGAAAGCTTATAGATTGATTATTTTGCTAATAATGATATAGTCGAAAGTACCCCTCTAGGTGGTTGAATGTACCCCACCGATGGGTTACATTCGACAACTTTGAGGCTTACTTTTAAAACAGTGGTAGATTTAACAAAAATCAATATTTTATATACATTATTTTTTAATTTGTTGGTTTAAGACCATTGCTTGTAATGCTAAAAAAATTTAAATGTTTTTGGTAAAAAATCATTTGTAAATTAATAAAAACCAGCTAAGCGGTCGAATTTTCCCCGTCTTCCCCTTCTTAAAATTTTATAAAACAAGTTTTGATGTGATTAGAACTATATGTGTTATTAGAACTGGATCATTTAATAATGATCCATATAGTTCTAATAATACAAATTTTAATTTAGTTTTATTTCCATTTATTAATTTCAAAAATATGTTGATGCCTAGTTGTAATGACAGGAATTTTTTTTTTTTATTTTCGCTTCATTTATGTATTTCATTTTATTTCAAAACTTTGCTTATTTATTGTATTAATATTGAAAACTATACTTCTATATTGCAACTTTAATAATAAAGCTTTATTAATGAAAATGAACATTTTTTTCCTGTATAGTTTGCATAAATGGCATATAGCTTTGGAACAAAACCAACAACATCAACTGGATTTAATTTTGGTACCTCTGCTACACCTGCAGTAAGCTTTTCATTAGGATCAGGCTCTACTCAGCCTTTTTCATTTACTACTCCGGCATCTCAGAGTTCAACAGCTAGTGGTGGCTTTTCCTTTGGTGGTCCTAGTGTACAAACTTCTACAAGTCTTACTGGATTCTCTTTTGGAGAATCAAAACCAGCTGCTGCAAATTCTTCATTAGGAAATCAACCCTCTGATGCATCTAAGCAACCAGTTTTTAGTGGATTTTCTTTTAATACTTCTACTGCAACTACAAAACCTACAAGTAATATAACTTTTGGTAGTAACTTAAGTGCTAATAGTTCATTTACTGCAATTAGTACTAATGCAGGAATTCCAGCTTCCTCTGCAGGTGGATTTTCTGCGCCTGGGTCTACTAAATTTTCATTGTCTACGCCAAATTCTGGATTTTCTCTTCCTGCTTTGAGTACTGGAGTCTCTCTTCCAGCTTCAAATGTAGGATTTGGATTACCTGCTTCAACAACTGGTTTTTCTTTGCCTGCTTCAACTGGATTTTCAGCTGGAAGCTCATCCCAACCAGGTGGATTTAATTTTGGAACACCAGCTTCAAGTACCTCTTTATCTTTTGGCGTGTCCATCCCTAATACAACAAGTTCAACGTCTCTTTTGAGCGGATTTAATTTATCTACCTCTAAATCTTCTGCATCTACTGATCTTGGTAAAACAGTCCCATCTTCTAATTCTTTATTTAGTGGTGCAACAATGCCTCTATCTTCTTCAGTGGCAACAACTAATTTAAGCTCCTCAAATGCTTTGCCACTGTTTAGTGGACTTTCTTCTTCATCTTCTGCATCTTCTGCTCCGTTATTTGGATCCTCAGCTGCTACATCTGTTCCAACATTTGGGTTAAATAGTACAACATCAGTGTCATCTGTTGGGCTTCCTGCTGTTTCCACAACAACAATTTCTGCACCATCAGTCAAACAAATGTCATACAAGGTAATTTATTGCATGGTTAATAGAAAGTTGTAAATATAGTAGTATGATTAATTTTTACAGAAACAGTTAACTTTTTCACTTCCAGTCTTTTTAACAAAAATTTTCAGATAAAATTTAAACGATTTAACATTGAAAAATAATTAAAATTTGAATAGTAAATCTCTTTGAAAGGATAACAAACTATATATCAATAGAATGCTAAACAAATAATGGTTTTAATTAAATAAGTTTTTAGCATACATTATTTAACAACAAGAAATTCTAAGCACTTAAAATCATTGTTTTTATCAATAGTAACTACAAGTCAAAAACAAAATTCATTTAATAAGAATGTTTTTCTTCAAAAGACTTTAGTTATTACTTATACATTTTTAAAAGTTCAATTTTAGAGTTAACACTTTTAGTGCTAACACTGTTTTATTTTAGAACTTAATTTAAAAAGTTTTTTTTTATCAAGGATTACTAAAGATTTTTTAACTTGTCAAGTGATAACTTTCTATAATTACACAATATAGCTCTTACTTGTTCTTGATTATGTAGAGAATTAGTTAAACTTTAAGAACAAACAAATTATGTGTCTAGAATAAAAATTTATGTATAAAAAAGGAATAATTGCGAAGCATACTCAAAAGCCGACAATGCTTTGAATAAAGGCTAGAAAAAATATTTTATATAAATATTAAACAAAGTAGATAAAATAAAAACGGAAAGACAAAAGTTTCTTTAATTTTAAATAAAATACTTCAAAAATCAGGCAAAATGAACGTTTTATTTAATTCTAAATAAAACAATGGAAAAAAAACAAACAGCAAAAAATAAAAAAATGTTTCATAAAAATACAAAACAAAGTAATTAAAATAAAAACATAAAGACTAATGTTTTATTAAAATTCTGAATAAAGTAACTGAAAAAACCAGACAAAAGGAACATTTAATTTAAATTTAGATAAAGTAATTAAATATTAGATAATTAAATTTAGATAAAGTAATTAAATATTAGATAATTAAATTTAGATAAAGTAATTAAATATTAGATAATTAAATTTAGATAAAGTAATTAAAATTTAGATAAAGTAATTAAAATTGAAACCTAAAAAAGTATATATTTAAATAAAATAATTACTTTTAAAATGGCAAAACAAACCTTTTATTTATGTTCTAAATATAATAATTCAAATATAAAAGTGTTTTTACAATTTTTTCATAAAAGTATTTATTAAACAAAAATGATTAGTTAAAATTAAAAAAAATTTTTGGCAAGTGCTTTTTTATGTGCTCACAGAAGTTTTTGCAGGCGTGTTAGCGAGCAGGAAATGGCTTGAACACATAAGCACTGATATATATATATATATATATATATATATATATATATATATATATATATATATATATATATATATATATATATATATATATATATATATATAACACACACACACACACACACACACACACACACACATACACACACAGCAGCAGCAGCAGCGTCCCCTACAAACTGTTACAAGGGCCCCAAAATCTTAAAAAATATTTGATTATCAGGTATTACAAAAAAAAAAAAAAGCTACCTATATTTGAAAAAGGGCCCTAAGTTTGCAGCCCTTCCCCCTATTGGATGTTTTGGGGGAGACTATGCACAGCACTGATGGACATATTTATGTACATCAGTGTGTGTGTGTGTGTGTGTGTGTGTGTGTGTGTGTGTGTGTGTGTGTGTGTGTGTGTGTGTGTGTGTGAATATATATATATATATATATATATATATATATATATATATATATATATATATATATATATATATATATATGCATATAATTATACAAATTTCATTAAAAAAGAGCTTTTATAATTTCTAATAAGATTTGTAATCATTAATAAATATTATATTCAGAAGTGCTGTTTAGATTTGCATTTTCTTAAATATAACTAACAAAAGCATGAATAAGAATAAAAATTAGTTAAAAGGAGTTTATTTTGATTATGTACAATTAGGTAAAAATAATGAGTTTTTTGTGCTTGGAATTAAAAGAATTCTGAGGTGAATTTTTTTTAAAACATTGTTGTTTCTGGATGATATTACCCATATTTATTTAATTACAAATAGGAATTAGAAGAAACTGTTGACAAGTGGTTGCATGATCTTGGTGAACAAGAAAAATCATTCCTAAACCAAGCTGCACAAGTGAATATATGGGATAAACAGTTAATTGATAACGGAGAAAAAATTACAGCTCTGCATAATGAGGTTTTAATTAAGATAAAATTGTTTTTTATTAAAAAAATTTTTTATTAACTTTAATAATTTAATTACCAAAAGTAAGTACACACACATTATTTATCTATGACATTATTTAAGTTGGATCAATTTTTTACAAGATGCTGGTAATTGGTAAATTTCAGCTTTTATTTCCATAGATGAGTTTTTTCCGGGAATTCCCGGAATTCTGGAAATTCACTTCAAACTCTTTTAATTTTCCAGAAAGTTCCGGATGTTTTTTGTTATTAATTTTTAAAAAAATTTATATGTTTTTACATAAAATTATAAATACAACAACTTTAGCATGTAAACAAATATGTTTTTTATAATTAAAATTTTCACAAGGTTAATTTTCATAACAATTATTTTTTCTTTTTTTGTGCTTTTTAATTCTTTCAAATTAACTTTTTCGATTATTAGAAATTCCTTTTTGTAAAAAGTTAAATAATCTAAATTCTGTTATAAAAGTTTACAAAAGTTTATGTTGTCAGTTAATACAATCAATTTTTAATAAAATAATTTTCCGGGAAGTTCTGGGAATTTTATTGAAAAAAATTTCCGGGATTTTTATAAAGTCAAATACTCATCTATGTATTTCAGAGGTTGAATTAAGCTATCACAAATTGTGATGAAATGACATAAGCTGATTTCAAGTGCATACAAAATAGTACTTATACATTTTTTTTTTTTTTCTCCAAAAAAAGTTATTTTTTTAGCACTTTGTTTCAAAGCTTTTTATAAAACTGCCTTTAATTAGGTTTCATCCATAATTAGGTAATTATATGGTATATATGATATAAACATATAAAAATAAAATAAAAAACTTACAACAACATTTTCAAAGTTTTATTCATTCAAAGTTTAATTGCAAACAATTTTTCTTTCTCTTTTGTTCTAAATTTCTATGAAAAGGGCAAGTGACAATAAAATCTAAGACCTTTAAACATTTTCTTTTAAGAAATTACACTTCTTAGAATAAATAAATAGTTCTTGTATATAATTTCTTATATAGAGTTCTTTTAACTATAAATTGTCATGTAACTGCTCAAGATAAAATCTTATTAATGGTTTTATATTTATCAAATATAAAAATATATTCGATATATATTTTTATATTTGATCTCTCTTTCTCTCTCTCTCTCTCTCTCTCTCTCTCTCTCTCTCTCTATATATATATATATATATATATATATATATATATATATATATATATATATATATATATATATATATATATATATATATATATATATATATATATATTTACACATATATATGTATATATGTATATATATATATATATATGTGTATATATATATAAATATATATATATAAATATATATATATAAATATATATATATATATATATTTATATATGTAAATATATATATATGAATATATACATATATATATATATATATATATATATATATATATACATATATATATATATATATATATATATATATATATATATATATATATATATATATATATATATATATATATATAAATAAATATATATATATGTATATATATATAATTATATATATATATATATATATATATATATATATATATATATATATATATATATATATATAAATATATATTTTTATATATGTATATATATGAATATATACATATATATATATATATATATATATATATATATATATATATATATATATATATATATATATATTCCGAGGGGATTCCGAGGGGATTGAGGTTCCGAGGGGATTGAGGGGATTCCGAGGAGAGATTCCGAGGGGATTCCGAGAGATTACGAGGGGATTGAGGTTGGCAATTAATTGGCAATTGCCAACCTCAATCTTTTTGAGGTCGGTATCAGGTCGGCAAAAATTATTTGATACAAAGGTCTGACCACAAAACATAGAAACAAAGTCGGCAATTTTTTGCCAACCTCAAACACTTTCAGGTTTGCAGTTAGGTCAACATTGCCAAATGCTGATCCTAACTGCCATTTGGGTTGGCATTCGGCAATGCCAACCTAAAAGTGTTTAAGTTCGGCAATAAATTGCCAACCTTGTTTTTATGTTTTGTGGTCAGACCTTTGAATCATTTTTTTTTGCTGACCTGATGCCGACCTCTATAAGATTGAGGTCAGCAAATTATCGCAGGCCTTGCGATAAAGTGTCGGGCTATGTGAATTTTACGTCGGGCTATGTGAATTTTAACATTTAATAAAGTATTTTAAAAACCGCACGCTGTTTGAATTTGTTTGAATTAAAGTTTGAATTAAAAGTTTGAATTAAAAAAAATTAAATATGCTCATTATTTACAAGTAGAAAAAATTCGGATTAAAAAAAAAGTTTAAATCTTTTAAGCTAACATTTTAATAAAATTATTCAGCAATAGCAAAGTTGACGATAAAATTGAACAAAAATACTTTCTTTTAGTTTTAGATTTTAAACTTAAATAATTATTTTACGGGGATTTGTTAGGTTTTAAAATTATTCCATAGCTTTAAAAATATTTATTAACTGTTAGACGTATTTAAAGTATTTAAGAGTAATTTCGAGGAAATATTTTAAAAATTGGTGAGTGCAAATAAAAAAAAAAAGGATTAATATTAAAACATATTCTACTTGATTCAATAAAAAAGTACAGTTATTAAAATTTTTGTAAAAAGTAACTCAAAAAAATTACTTAAATAATAACGATCGCTTTTATGTTAAAAGTTACCGAAACTCAACGAAGCGTGCTCAAGAACAGCTGCTGAAAAATAAAACGTCAATTTTTCGAATAATTTTTAATAATAATTTTTAAGAATAATTTTTTCGCTAAAATATTTCTTTTATACCTATAAGATTTTTATTCTAACATTTTATTTTATTTTACTAGAAATAAAATTCCTTGTTAACAATAAAAATCTATTTAAAACGTTCGTTTAAGTTTTTTATTAATACTAGTGATTGTGCTTATCAACCGCTTTATGAAAATAAATAAAAATAAATAAATAAATATTATATAAAATCGGTTGTAAAAATATTAGCTATTGCACTGTTTTTAATCGTACAATATTAAAACTTCCAGTTTATTACTCGCTGACTTTTAAAAAAAAAAAAATAATTATTTGAAAAACTTTAAATTACATGTTTAAGAAAAAAAAAATCAAATATTAGCATATTTTATAATCTTTTTTAAATTTAAGTTATAATGTTTTTTATTCGTTTAGTATAGACAAAATGTGACAAACATCGAGAAAATAAACAAATGTTTTTACATTTTAAAAAACGAAACATTTTAAAACATTTTTAAATAATAACATTTCTACGTAAACGATTTAAAGTAGTTTTGCGGTAATTAAGTAAATTGGTGCAGTTAATGTCGATAAATATGAAAAGCATATAAAAAGAATTTAATGACGTCGAAAATCATGTCGTGCTTATGCGTCACGCAGTTCTTATTCATTGCAAGGCCTGTTATTGCCGACCTCAATTTTTCTAATTCCAATGGTTGTATATATATATATATATATAGTTACAGAAAAAAAGTTATTAGGAAAAACTATTTTTAGATGTAACTCTATATAAAATAAATGAAACCTCATACAGTTATATTTATTTTTGTTGTTGTCGACTAGCTCTATCTAAGTTTATGTTTTTTATGTATGTTTGTGTTCTGTCTAAACCTCTGGCGAAGTGTTGACTCACCCGTAAGTTGATTTATGTCTATGATTGTTTGTGTTCTGTTTATACTCTAATGCAGCGTGAGCTCAGTAACTAAAACCTTCAACTTTTCAAGTCTTTTGTCAACCGTTTCCTTGCTCTATAACTCTGTTCTTTTTTTTCCTAGTAACTCCCAACTTAATAGTGGTTGCTTGCAGCCTTGTTGGGAGTGAATGCAAATAAAAAAAAAAAAAAAAAAAAAAAGTGTACCATTAAACATTTACTACACTTGGTAGATGTCTCTTTTGGTAAGAAAAACTGAAATACTGGGGAAAAAAATAACTTGATTTGAGACCCAACATGATAATTTTTTTTTTATAATATAAGGAACTCGATATATGTTCAAAGGTCTTGAGGGACCCCTGAAAATATTTTTTTTTCAAAAATTTTGTGAAACCAGTGTTTTTTTATCATATAGAACACATTAAGGGGATGGCAGCATATTTTTATAAAATTTTGTTTTTCGGGATACCTTATATGGATATATATATGTTTTTCGGGATACCTTATATGGATATATATATATATATATATATATATATATATTTATATATATATATATATATATATATATATATATATATATATATATATATATATATATATATATATATATATATATATATATATATATATATATATATATATATATATATATATATATATATATATATATATATATATACAGGCCTTGTTTTAATAAAAAAAAGTGCTTAATTCATTAGCTTAATGCAATATTTGATGTCGAAAAATTATCTTTATTTTTTTTATAGACGTTAAGTGTTTTAACTACCGCAATAAATAAATAACCGCTAACTAGTTCATTTTAACAATTAACTCAGTTAACTATCAACGTTTTAAATGCAAATTTATTATGAAAAGTTTGTTATGTTTTCAATTGTTATTTTAATATTAATTTTATTTCAATATTATTTAGTAAAAAAAAATTATATATATATTTTTAATTATTTCTGAAATTTATTTTTGAATTATTATTGTTTATAAATCGTTATTGAATAAAAATTAATAATGATTTTTTTTAATTTTAAAAATTTCTGGAGTAAACAAAAAATATTAACATTGATAAACAAAAACCCATGTTATTTATTTAAACAGCGATTTTGTTTTGACTAGCAAAGAATAATTTAGGTTTTTAAATATTTTTTAAATTTATGTTGCTTAGCGTTTTAACTTGCGTTATATAAAAATATAAAAAACTTTTATGTCTGCTTTGAGCATATTTTTGATACATAGAATGCGTTCGCCAGGAATTTAATTAATAAATTTTTAAGTTATCGTTAAAACGTTTTACATTTTAAACAAATCACAAAGAAACACTGCTTTAGAGAAAAATCATTTTTAACAATTAAATCGTTTTTTTTTTTTTTGAATTTTAGGAATTTAAAAATAAAAACTAAGTTAAATATAAAAGTCTTAATTATGCAAACACTTTTGTTAATTATTGTTAAAACAAAACAAAAAAATACTTCGACGCAAAACTTTAATCATGCAAACTTAAAAAAATACTCAACTAAAATAATATAAGTATATTTAATAATTTGAATCGTATCTGTTTATAATAAATGTTTGTAAAAATTTGTTCATTAAAAATTAAGTTCCTTAAACTTAATTTTTAATGAACATTAAACGAACTCAAAAGTATTTTCATTCTACGTATAATAAAAAAACTCTTTCGTTTGTAAGCAATTTAACTTGGAATAATAAAATAAAAAAAGAATAAATATGAGGTTATCTTTGTTAAGAACAAATTTAATTTATTTATTGAACTATATTTTTATTTTTATTTATATATCAACTTAAATAAAATATAGTAACATGTTAAAATATTTTATTATGACTTGTGTTATTTTAAACCGTAGGGCAGCTGCTCTTACGGCACCATTGGTTTTGGATAATATTTTATTTTGATGAAGATAACATAACTTACATTTGATTTTAATAACGTAAGTCTTCTCTTTTTCTGTGATAGTTTCAATTAGAAAAGCATCGGCAAAGTCCCAGGATTTAAAAGTTTTCAAAGTAAATCTTTTGTTCTTCAAAATACAATCCATATTTGAACTTTAAACAATTTGGAGAGAATAAAAATATACTAGGTTTTTATATACTGTTTGTATCATTTTATAAAGAAAAATTATGTTTTTTTTTTTTTTTCTATTTTTCTTTATAAAATGATAAACTAGTATATAAAAACCTAGTAAAAATCATTAGTAAAAAATAGAGACATTAAATTAAAACACGCCTTACATATTTATTTAACAGAGTCTGTAATGTGCGCGTGCATAATGAAACCTCCGTTATATAAATGTATTCAACGTAATATTAGTGTCATCAGGGGATGTTATAGTCTACTTGTGATTTCTTTACCTTAAAATATACTTTGATTTATGAAAAAAAAAAACTTATTGAATTGCACACAGATGAAATTTAGCAAATTGTCTTCATTCAAAAATGGCAATTAACTGGTAATTTTTTTTTTCTTTGCCAGCCCCCTTCCCCCACATAACTCAAAGCTAAAGGTACTTTTATACCTTTAACTAATAAGAGAAGCAAAGAGTATTAATGAGTGCGAAGAGTATTAATTAATTTTTAGTACAATACAAATAGATTGTTCATTCATTGGCACATTTTTTTTAATATCTCGAAAAAATGTCAATCCTTAATTACAAATTTTTTGCAAATGTTTTTTAATATAAATTTAGTAAAAAACTCTTTAAAAATCTATATTACAAAAAACATTTATATTCTGTATTAATAAAATTGGAATATAGATTTTTTGAAAGTTTTTTACTGACAACTTTAAAAAATTACTACTTTTTATTTAAAACATTTGCAAAAGATTTGTAGTTAAGGATTGATGAACAATTTTTCATGTTGCTAAAAAGTGGATAAAAAGAGAAACGTAAAATTAATTGCTATGAAAAGGTAAGATATATCGCGATGAAAAGTTACTACAATTATTTTTAACGTAACTTCTTTTTTGTAATAAATATTTTTACATATCGTTATTCAAAAGTTAATGTGGTTTTTTTGAAAATTGATTATTTCTTTTATGTTACCGCTAATTTAAAAATTAAAAAATGATAAGAAGTAGTTTAACCAAAACAGTTCTATGCGTACGTAAAAATCGCTTAAGGCGTACGTATATCACTCTAGGCGTAACGCTTTAAAACAATGCCTGATATATATATATATATATATATATATATATATATATATATATATATATATATATATATAATCAGAAATTTTGGAGAACAATGTGTGTGATTGGTTTTGGATTAGAAACTTTAATTTTTTTATTTTATTTACTTTATAAGTAACTTTAATACTTTCATTTATAATAGGCTTGCCACCAGGCAAAAATAATCAAGACATTACTCCAAGAAAATGTGATTAAGGTTCTTGGATTGTGGCTAGGCAGTTCACCAAATATAAACACCATTAAAAATTGTTGGAAAAAACTAATAGCAGAAGTTTCTAAATATAACACATCACCACTAGCATATCTGAAAAAAGCCATAAAAAAACAATAACAACGTTTTATACTTGACTTCTTTATAATTTTATGCTTATGTATGCTACTTTTTAAATTAAAATGTTTTCTAGTAATAAATTCTATATATGTAGAGGGGTTAATGGAAACTTTTCCATTATTGTGGTATGTTAAAGGACTGTATGCAAACAAAAATTTAAATTTGAGAAAAACGACTGGCATAGGACAACAAATAAATGGTAAAAGGCAGTGTCAGCTCGCATGTGATACAGCAACAGCACTTTGAGAGACATGTTTAGGTATGATTGTCATTGTCAAGTACCTTATTGGCTTTGATACATTTTACTCAACAAATTTACGATAGGCCCTTCAGAAAAAAAATGCTCAAAAAGTTTCGACAATGCTTGGGGGGAACTTATTTTTATATTGGAACTTATAAATAAGCGAATTCTAGGTGAGGCTTCTACATTAATTTACAATAATAAGTTTGACAAAATTGACCAAAACTTTTCTTAGTTATGCATTTTATCTATTTTTACACCAAAATTATCATAAGCTCTACGCTAATAAAACATTTACTGACCCCAAAAACTCAGCACATTTATTAATAAGTAAGAATGTATAAAAATAAATTTTACTAAAATAATGCTTAACTGATGTTTTCCATTCAAAGAAACTTTCCATTCAAAGAAACTTATTAGAAACATAATATAAGATATATAAAACAGCTATATTCTCGCTATTTTCTCCAGTTTATTGTTTAAGTTTAAAACTCTAAGTTGAAATATATTATTTAAAAATTTAAACTTAAGGTTATTTTCGAACAAAAAATATTCAGAGCAGAATTACAACAATTTATTTTGTTTTTACTTCACTTTTTTAATGTGTTGCAATAAAAAGTTTCTACATTTTAACAAATTTTTGAAGCTGGTTAAGGAATTTTCAGTTCTAATTAAATAATATTTTGAATAAACAATATTATACAACTCACTAAGTTTTACAAATATTTAAATGAAAATGATCAACAATAATTAAATAAAATTAAAAGTTTTTTCATCATTTTTCACTCTTATTGCTCATGTTGTTATTTAATCTTTTAAAATCTTATTTTTCTTTTTTAAGTTTAAAAATACATTCACCATTCCACAAGTTAATGCAGTTTTTTTAAAAAATAAAATAAAGATTCATAAATTTAAAAAAAAAAGATTAGAATCCTGATCAAATTATAAATAAAAACATGAGTATATAAAAAGCCGTATTGGCTCTATAATAACTCATTAATAACTGTACTCAATGGGCTTGCCATGTCTGATTTATACCAGCTTACTTAGCTTGCACACTCGTTTATTTCTGCTAAGGTATATGTATGCTAAGGCTTGTATATGTATGCTAAATCCATATATAAAACTTTCAGTCAATATAAGTACAGAAGCTCTTAATATCTATTGATATATAAAAAAAAATGAGTCGAAGAGAAAATATTTTTTAATTTAAAAGATTGCCTGCCCATGTCAAAAACCCGAGTCGGTGTATGTACGTTCCTTGCATGTTTTACCTATACAAGTCAGTCAAAATATGTACACTTCTTGCACGATTTACCTAAGTCAGTCAATATATGTATACTCCTTGCACAATTTACCAATCTAAGTCAGTTGATATATGTCCACTCTGCTCTGCCAAAAAGTAAATCAGTCAAAAAGCACAAATAAAAAAAGCAATAAAATAATACAAACAAAATAAAATATTTAAAACAGTATGAAACATTGAAAAATAAAAACAAACAAATTTTGCATTAAAAAAAATTCAAGTCAATTAATTTTGCATTTTTCGGTTATTAAAAAAACATTTAGTTTTATATGTATTTGCAGTTATTTTAATGGTTTTGCCTTAATGAAAACATATGTTAGATGAATATCAAAAGTAATTAAAGTTGCATAATGTCAAAATAATCATTTTTTATATTCTGTACTTTTAAAGCCAACAAATTATATAAATATATATATAAAACAATTTATAAAACATAGTATATAAATATAAAAAAAGTCAACATTTTAAAATATTCTGACAGTGCCTTTTATATTTCACCAATGTTACTTATTAATTTTTTTATTTAGGTTGAACGCATAAAAGCAGAACAACACAGGTTAGACAGGGAACTAGATTTTATTTTATCACAACAAGAAGAATTGGAGGAAATACTTGTACCAATTGAGGAGCAAATAAAACTACAGCCTATTAATCAATCAACACAGCATACAGATATAGAAAGAGAGCAGACATATCGTTTGGCTGAGAGTATTGATTCACAATTAAAACGTATGATGCAGGTAAATGTATTTATTATTATTAAGTATATTTGTGTAAGTTTTTAAATTATTTTCTTTCAAGTTTTGATTTCAACAAATCTTTTTTTTTTTTCAACTTCACTGTTTGTAATTTACTGCAAGCATTATGGGGTGGCTGGGGTGCACAGTTTTAAAACTATTTTAAATGATTTAAAAGTGAATTAAAATGATTAAAAGCAATTTAAAATGATTTATATTCTAAATATAGAATAAAATATAATAATTAGAAATAGAATAATTAGAATAAAAGTGGAAAATAAAAAACAACTAAACAAGCATTTTAAAAAGCTTTTTATTTAAACTGTAAACAAATCTATCTTATCATTCTTCTTTCTGTTATTAGCAAGGTCTTGGAATCTTTGATCAACTAATTTTTAACATTCCATCTGTTAAATTCTTCAGTTTATCAAAGATTAAAGTTTCTTTTATTTATGTATTTATGTTTTATTTCAACAATATTCTAATAAAACTAAAATAAATAAAAAGTCAATATTTTTTTAAGACCATTTATTTCATGCTTAACATAGTTTGCAAAGTTATAAATATTTGTAATAGTTCTTCTTAGTACAGAATGAAAATAGCAGTACTTAAAAATTATTTGTATTTTTATTATTGCTCTTTTTCTGTAATAATTAATTTTTTATGTGTGTATATACAAGAATGAGGTAAGTAAATTGAGCATATGAGAATTCAATACATCCAAGAATACCATTATTTTTGAAAAAATTTTAATTGAGAGAATGCATTAAAATAGCAGTGGTTGTATTGATTTTAATGTAAGTTTATAAAATTTTTACAGGGGAAATAAGTATAACTTCAAATATAATATATTCTTTATTTATTTGTGTATGCTCAATGGTAAAAACCTTTTCTAAACCTTTCAAAGTGGGTTGAGGACATCATTGTACACCAACAAAATGCAACATTATTTTGAAGCATTACTGAGAGGGTAAATCTTACTCATATATACAAAATATTTTTGGGTATTTAGCAAAGATGATTTCAAATGCCTTAAATTATAATCCAAAAGTTAAAAAAAAGGTGGAAAACATAAGATCACCGCACAAGAAGACCGAGGAATTGTAAGGTATGTTAAAAGCAAACCATTTTCATCAGCCAAGCAAGTCAAAGATAATCTTGAATTATATGTATTATATGTAAATCATACCGCTAAACATTTGTATTTTGCAAAGCAACATCTGAATTGGCCCATCAAAAAGTGGCGCAACATATTATGAACCGCTGAATCGAAAATTGTTCTTAAAGGAGGGACAGGTTCATGATAATATGTAAGACGTCCAGCTAATACAGAATTTTAGAAAAAAATATACCATTAAGTCTGTGAATAATGGTGGGGGCAAAGTCATGGTATGAGGCTGCTTCTCATATAATGGTGTTGGTCCTAATTTTAAGATTAATGGTATCATAGACCAATATATATATGTCGATATCCTGTGGTATCATGGACCAACATATATGTTGACATCATGTCATGCTGCCCTATGGTGTTTAAGATATGCCGCAAAAATGGGTCTTCCAACAAGATAACAACCTGAAACGCACTATTCGAAAGGCAAAAGAGTGGTTTCAGGTCAATGGGGTTGAGGTTATGGAGTGGCCTGCTCAGTCACCCGACCTAAATCCCATTGAAAACTTACAAGGAGACGTGAAAGAAGCAGTTCCTGCTGCTAATCCAACTAATGCTCAGCAGTTATGGGTAGCTATTCAACAAGCATGGTATGCAATACCCACAGAAAAATGTTGATGCCTTGTTGACTCAATGCATCGGCATTGCAAAGCCGTTATTCAAAGGTTTTGCAACAAAATACTAAAGGTAAATATTATTATATTATACTTATTTTTAACTTTTTTAATGTTAAAAAATTAACTTTTTTAATGTTTAACTCTAGAAAGTTTATTTTCTTCCCCATTTTCAGATACCTCTGTTATTTCAATGACTATAACCTTTTCAAATATTATTATTTTGTTTCTAAAATAAAACGCAAAACTACTATTGATGTGATTTTTTTTGTTCTATTAGATTTAAGTGTCAAAATAAATATAATAAAAATTTTTTAGTAAATAGTAAAAAAAAAAAATTGCCTAATAATATTCAAAATATTCCAGGTACTGCTATTTTCATGTTTCAAATGAATTAAATCATTGAGTTACTATAGAAAAATAACAATCTTTTTACCAGTGCCAGACCCCTAAATATAATGATAAGTATCTAAATATAATGATAAGTATCTATAATGATAAGTATCTAAACTGCAGACTAAGTATACATTTAATAACTTTATAATTTACTTAAGTCCATTGGTTTATACTATAATATCTATTATAAATTAATATATAAGTGTCATATTACATCCTAAGTGAATTATAATTTTATTATTTATTCTGCAAAGTAAAAGCAAGTTTTTATTGCATCAAATTAATTGAAAGCCTTTTAATTAATAATTTTTAAGTCACTTTATATGTTTTTGTGTTCTGTCTTGACCTCTGGTGCGGTGCTGGTCAATATATTTTGATCAGTCATTATATTTGTGTGCTTGTGTTCTGTATGGACCTCTGACATGGTGCTGGTTGACCCATCAGTCAATGTATGTGTGTTTGTGTTCTGTAAGGGCCTCTGGTGCAGTACCGGTTCATCCGTAAGTCACTTTATATATTCGTATTTTTTATATTGTTTCAACCTCTGGTAAGGTGTTCATATAATCCTACTTCACTATGTATAAATGTATGTTTGTATTCAGTTGCCTGTAAGTTTCTGTATGTTTATTTGATTATTAGTTTTAAAACGCTGTTGTTCAAAAATTGTTGTTGAAAGTTTTGTTTTTATAAAATCAATTGTACAAGTTGTTTTAAAAAGGTTTACATTAATCATTAAAAATCTATAATTTTTAAATAATAAAAAACCAATCTATATTTATATAATTTAACAAACTTCAGGCGCAGACTGGCCCACCAGGAAATGAGGAAATTTCCTGATGCTCCCCATCATTCTTCGCGCCATCCTTCATGCCACAATATTATTAACATATGTTATATATGAATAATAACTATAAAACCATTTAGTGTTATTGCTTCATGTGCAAATTTATGATATTTCAATTTCTGACAATGCAATTAAAGCATCATGTTTATAAGAAACTTGATAGCAGCTTTGACTTTTAATATCACAAACTTAATAACGGCTGTGCCGCTACCTATTTTTGCTTCCAAAAGTGTCACAGAGTGTCTTTAAATGCAAAATTGTTTGCTTTAATTTACATTAATTCAAATTATTTGCTATCTTTTAAAATTATTCCATAAAAATAAATAACACATAATAAAAAAAATAACTAAAAAAAAATGATGGAAAATCTTGTACTCTAACTATATTTTAAAGTAAATTTTATAATTATATATATATAATTATAAAATTTATATATATATATATATATATATATATATATATATATATATATATATATATATATATATCTGCATGGAAATTAACGGCCCGTCAACGGTCAATGACCGCCTGAAATGACTAAAAATTTTATTTTAACCTCCCAAAATGAATTTTTGCCGATCACAATTGACCGGTTGAAAAAAAAAATCAGAGATTTTAAAGCAAGGTTTGATAAATAATCAGGATAATTTTTTTTAAAATGCATATACTAAAATTTATAAAATTATTTAAATGCGAATATTAGTGAATACATTTTTCTAACTTTGCAAGCCTTCCCAGGAAAGGCGTGCGGTTTTTCATCTCGTAAGACCACGAAAACGTATTTCAAGTTAGAGAACGTGATCACGGCCATTTGCGCAAGTTTTATTATATGCGTTGCTGAAAAATTGTTTTAAATTTAATAACTACTTAAGAAATTAAAGTAAACTTAAATAGAAAACAATAATAGTAGTTTAAATAATTTGTGTGTTGTTTTTATTTTTGTTTTTTCTTAGTGGTTTTTATTATTGGCAACAAAATTCAGTAAGTCAAAGCAAAAAAAAAAAAATGGTTTTAGGTGTTAAAAAGAATGAATTTCACATATTTTATGTGTTTTTTCTTTAAAAGAGGAAAAAGAAAATATGTATCGTCATCTGTTTGTAAAATATATTTGTATAATTATAATGTAACAAGTTTATATCAAGAGTTAAACTATATGATTGTGATTTCTTAACTCTGGTAAAATATTAGGTCTTTAAAATTTTAGTTCATGCAAAGCTGTGTACTTTGTTTATAAAGAGAGCAAATTATTAAAAGTTTGCTAGCGAGAAAGTTACAAAAAAACAAAACAAAAACAATAAACTTACGACTACAAAAGTAATAACACTTTAGTCACTAACTGCATTATAAAAGTAATAAAACTATAATAGCGTTATTACATTTATAAAGCACATATTACTTTTAAAGTTCATTTTTTGTTCAAACAACATTATCAATAACAAATATTTATTTAAGTAGAAAAGCATCTAGAAAAAATAAAGCGAATATTCAAATATTATTAAATATTTTAGGAACTTTCACATATCACTTAAACAACGTTATAAAAAAGTACTTTTTAAAAAATATAGCATTATGAAAAAGGTTACGTAAAAACGCGCATTAATTTTAAAATCAACCAATAAAAAAATTTTATTGGTTAATTTTAAAATTAACGCGCGTTTTTATGGTCCATTAGTAACGTTTTTCATAATGCTTAACTTTTAATACGATACATTTTCATAAAGTTGTTTGTCATGTTTTTATAAGTTACTTTAGTTTTAATATTATTTGAACATCCACTTTATTCTTCTAGATATTTTTTTACTTCAATTAAAATTTGGGAATACTAATGTTGCTTGAAAAAAGAATGAATTTTAAAAGTTATAAATGCGTTATAAAAGTAATAACACTATTATAGTGTTATTACTTTTGTAATGCAGTTAGTGACTAGAGTGTTATTACTTTTGTAATCGTAAGTTTATTGTTTTATTTTTTATTTTTTCAC